TTTTTTGTATTTTGTATAAATTTAATAAAGTTATTGGCAGTGCCACATCGTAAAAAAAAAAGCATTTTTATATATAGATTACAGGAATTAGCTTAAGAAACCTTGTTATATTTTTTGATAATATTCCGATTGAATTTTTAATATACAAGTTTTTTAAAGACTTTTGTTTAGCAAAAACTTTTGGAAACTTTCTGACATTACCTAGAAATAACTCAGTAAGACTTTTAACATATGCCTTATCTACCGATTAGATCATATTTGGAATATTTTCTCACTTAACTCATCATCACTTATCACTTCCTTTGCATCTACTAGATTAAAAACCTTTATATATAAAAATTTTATGGACAAACTTTCTGTATTGGAAAGAATAGTCCAGATTCTTTCTGATTTATATGGGAAATTTGCAATAAAAAGGGAGAAAACTCTAAAAAAATTTTTTTTAAGTTAATGTTAAATCTGGACTTATTTTATAAAAAAAATCATAATTAGCTTAGAAAGTAAAATTTTAATTTTTTAGAGTTTCTTCCCTTTCTATTGCAAAGCTCCTATATAAGGATTGGAACTGTGTTAGCTGCGATAATATTATGGAATCAATTTCACATTTATAGTATTATCCGATTTACTTACCAAGAATAACATCCGTTATCTATTCTAATAAAAATTATCTTTTGGTTCTCCTTGATGATCAACAATTTAATCCTTCTATAATAGTTGAAATTTTCTCTATTTTTGACTAAATTTTCGATTTGTCTTCTGATACTGGTCTTATCTCAATTATGAAAGTTTTGATATCTAGCTCTCTGATATCAGTGATCTATGAAGTAGAAGCAAATGCATCAAAATTATCACAAAACTTTTTATATTTTTCTACCAGAAAATATATGAAGATATTTGAAAACCTTGTTGTAAACTTATGGTTGTCAAAGAACAACTTTTAGATATATTATTAAAAGACAAGTTTACGTGGTGTCAGTAAATTTTTGAATTAATATTTAATTCATCAAATTCTGAATCTATAAGACTTAGATACATCTTATGAATAAGTATAGTAATAATTTTTTAAATTTTTAGATAGGCACTGACTTTTTCTTTTTATTTTCTTAATAACAATAGTAGTCATTAGATATATATTTAGTAGGTTTGTTGGAAAGAAAAGACGATGATAGGTCGATTCAAATAGATTTGTAATATAATCATACAGGATAGCTAGTACTTATACATAGATTTTTAAAATTTACTTCTTGTTTATTATATAAATTTAATAAAGTTATTAGCAGTGTCACATCATTAAAAAAACATTTTTATAAATAGCACAAAGCTATTTTGTAAATTGATTTTCGTAGATCTACTAATTTGATTTTGATGAATTTTAGCTTGTTAGAATCACCACACTGAGGAAAATCGGAATTCAGTATCAGTTTTTGAGTAGTCAGCCTACTGAAAAAAATTTCTATTAAATTTCATTAAGTAAGAAATTGTAATATAGATTGCTAAATTGTGCAAATTTGGTCATAATAATTGCACTTCAAATTTTTACTGAATATTTTCTAGATTTTAAGGTTTAAAATAAATGTAAAATCATATTTCTAGCATTTGTAGTTGACGAGATATAATCTTATAGTGATGTGTAATTCTGGTTGCATTTCTTTTGCTTATTATTTTATATTACATTTTTAATAGTTATAATTTTCTCAAATTAATAACAATACAAAAGTTTCATAAATCCAATAATAGAAGAATAATCTAACTATTGGTAAATACTTTAATGACCTCTTTAATACAGATAAAAGTAGTACCTTATGAATCAGATCATCAATAATATATAGTTTAGTAAAAAAAATATATTTTCAATATTAAAATCATATTTGCAATTAACATGTATAAGATATTTTTGATTCTACTAACTAAAATATAAAAATTTATAAAACACAAAATATAATAAGTTTCATAAACTTAATAAATTTACGAATTATTACATGACTGAAAGTTTTAAACGAAAGATATAAAATATTATAAATAAATCAATGATATAAATTTTTATAAATTTTTAAAATTCTTTTATTATTATAAGTTTTACATAATATTACATTGTAATGTTATAATGTACTATACTGTAAACTTTCAAAATTTTAGTATTTTCATAAGTTTTACATAATATTATACTATAATATTATAAAATACTATATTATAAATTTTCTTATAATTACATATTTATAAACTTTTATAATATTACATCATAATATTTACAAAAATACAAATTACGTAATTTTACGATAGGTTTGTAAGCTTTGTAATGTTATAGAATATAAGTTTATGTAATATTATGTCTTATTAAATTTACTAATAATGTATTGAATAATAATCATTAATATTAAAACAAAATAATTTATTTTTATTTTTTTTAAAATATTGATTTATCTTATTTAAATGATTATCTGATATATGTTTTTATATTTTTTTATTATTTTATAAGATAATACCATATGAAGATATTATAAATAAAATCTAATTGCTAATTGAATAGAATTATTAAATTTATTTTTTAAACCAGATCATAGATAATAAAATCAAACAAGTAATTTTTTTACTATTTTTTATATTATTAATTTTTTTTAGAATTTAATTTAATTTTTAAATATAATAAATAGTTTTTATCTTTATATAAGAATTTTGATAATAATTTAATTTTTTTTTTAATTGATTTAGATTATTTTTTTCATATTCATTTATATCTTTTTATATATTTTTTATTTTATTTATTAAAAGATAAAATTATTTTATCATTATTTATTTAATATTTATATCAGACCAATAATTAAAATTTAAATCTAATATTATTATTTAAATTTAACAAATAAGATAATTCACATTTTGTATAATCATCATTATTTTTAATATATATATTATTAGATCCTTCTAATTTTATTTTTTTATTTTTACTTCTATAATTGATAAATAATGTAAAAATATAACTGATCATTAAATTGAAGATAGCTAACAATTTTGATATGTATTAGTTTTTATAGCTTTTTTTTTATTTAATTAAGTAAATTTTCTAAATTTATATAGATTTAAATCATTTTTATCACAATCCTTAACTTTATTTAAATCATTATTAGAATATATACTTTGATTTAAATAAAATTTTTAAAAAAAACCCGAAAATTTTTATTTACAAGCCTATCTTTTTTTGGTAATTTTATGACGATCAATTTTCAGACCAATCAAAATATTCAATTATGTGATATTTCAAAAATGGTTATCACAAATTTTATCCAATAATATCGCTAGAAAGTTGAATGTCCATGTTTCAGATCGCGACAGTTCAAGTAAACGCGTTTAATTGTTCGATCAATTTCTAAAATTTATAACTTTCTAATAAAATCTAACAATGGAAAATACTTTGAAAATGCTCGAAAGTCTTCTTAGTAGTTCACATTCTGAAGAAGTAAAAAAAAAATTTATTATAATTTATTTGAAATCAATAAGTAAACAAAATTTCTCAAAAACAAATTGGGAACAACTTTGCGAGTATGCCTACGGACTCATCAAGGTATTTCCTCAATTCATTTTCTGTTTTAATCGTAATATTTTAGAGTTCTAACAATCTATTCTCTCAAGTATACTTCTCGCGTTTACGCTTTTGGTGAGCTTATTCTATCTCAAATCGCATGTTTGCAGAAAGCAATATATATGCTTTATTTCAATTCTGGCTGGATAAGTCAAACCCTTATCAACAACACTACTCATAATAATGTATTTATATATAATTCAGGATATGTTTTATTATTTTTTTTTAAAAAAAAAATTTCAGGAAAAATAATATTTTATTATATTCGTAGTTATACCAACAACTAAGAGCATTAGTTAAAATAATTAAATATAAACAAGGTATATTTTATTATAAATAATAGATGTCATATCATGAAATTGTTCTCATACAGGTTATTCCTTCTAGAATTTTCAAGTGATTCCGACGGCCATGCTAATATTGAAAATGACTGTCGATTATTACAATCTTATTCTATTAAATATATTGAGGTTGTCAAAAGTAGGGTTGACTGGATGCAATTGTTTGTATCCATGTTCACTGATCTTCCACAGTCAATTCCCGAAGATCATGTTAAATTAATTGAAGTAAATAAAAATTAAATTTGTCCTCTCTTTTATCAACTATTTTCTAATAAGTTCTTATTTATATAACATAGGTGCTTTTATATTCTTTGGCCATTCCGGAAAGCGATTCGTTAGAATCATATGATGAATTCGTGAAGCAGACGGTAAAATTAATTGAATCTTTATGGGAGAAGAGGTCATTTATAATTTGTTTCTATATTCATATGTTAAATTTCCCAAGCAAATTGATGCTAATAATATTCTTACGACGTTCAGCACGGAAAACCTGGTCATTACTATCCGTGAGGTTTTTATACGACTTTCAAGTAATCAAACTTGTTCTAAATCTATAGTACTTTTGATTAGTAGGATACCTAAATCATGTACATCAGGTAAAATTTTTATTTATTTCTTATCGATTATAAAATTTGACCGGACGACGTCTAGATTGAAATCCTGTTAGTTATCCAACCCTATGTCCAGAAAATTCCCGCAGACGATGTTAAGAAATTTGAAATATTTATTGAAAGAATGATTTTGATGATACCTCATCAATTTGCTAATAAAATTGGTAAGTTATGGATAGTTCTCTCATACTGCAATGAAATTTATACATTAATTTTGATTTTACATTTAGGATGTTGGATCATAGATTTGATTAAAGCTTTGGAAAAATCAAAGTATAAGTCTATATTGACACGGATCACTCTCGCAAATGCGTCTCGGTGTAAGTAACTTGTTTAATTTCATTAAAAAGAGTTATTTTCATATAGCTAATACGAACTTTGAAATTAGGCTTCGAATATTTGCTAGACCGTCATGCGCGTAACGATGCTTTACCGGTTGTTAAATGTTTGTTACTTGGATATCAAGTTACATCTGATGTTTTCGATTCAATCATTCCAACTTTCCCCAAAGTTTTAGAAACGATCGCTAAAGAGGTTATTATAATTATTTTAAATTTTATGATTTTGTAGATAAAACTTATTTATTAATATGTCTTGTTATTAACAAAATTTTATTTTAGAGAGATCAAGTTGATACTTTACTTGAACTTTCGAGGATAGCTCAATGTCTTATGAAGCGTTTTAAGGGAGGCGATAAATATTTGCAACTTTCTAAAACTTTGGAATCGCTTGACTTGGTATATTAATTATATTCTAACTTATTGCTTAAAGAAGCCTTGTTCAATTTTATTTTACTAATACGCAAATTATATCACAGCCTATACTGAAACATGAGGATATATCGAATACTCTTCAAAATAATGTATGGTTTAAAGAGTCGAACATTGCGGGTAAATAATTTTGTTGCTTCTTTTTTTTTTTAATCAATTAATTTTTTTTAATTTACTAAGTTATGCAGCTTAAAATACAGGTAGCCGTAAGGATAGCCGTAAGGAAATTGTGGTGAAAACTTCTGTTTATTCCTCGCAAATCTATAAAAAAAAGAAAGGATTGCAAAACTTAGGAAACACTTGTTTTATGAATAGTGTACTTCAGGTTAGAGATATAAAAAAAAATAGAGTTAAAATTTTCAAAATTGATCTCAAGCTAAATTTATTTATTATTTCGGAAGGCATTATTTAACTCAGCGGAATTTAGGCATCGTATATTACAGGCATCGACGTAGGAATTTTACTTTGTTATTTTATAAAATAAATACAATAATTGTATTTTCTAACATTTTATGTCATATAGAACGAAATCAAAAACGTCAACGATCTATCAGCTTCAATTGTGTTTTGCTTGTATGATATTTTCAAACAAATCGTATTTTTCACCATCAGCATTATTGGAGGTTATATATATATATTATTTAATGCAATTCGTTAATTAATTCAATATATTAAAGAACATTATCCTCATTAGACGCTTCCAAGTTGGTTAAATAATGGTCGACAACAGGATTGTCATGAATTTTTGAAGCAAGTATTTTTCATATTTCAACAAGATATAAATACTAATTTCATTGATTAAAATGACTGATGAAATTTTTCTCTTAGAATTTTATTTTGTCAGATTGAAGAAGAATCGAAAAAATCATCAAATAAAAAACTTAGGTTAGAATCAGAAGAGGAAGAAATTTCACCCGTACATGAAGATATGAAAAATATTCCAATAAGCCCCTTTGGTGGAAAAATGGAAAATATAATTATGTGTTTGGAGTGTGGGAAAAGATCTAAAACAAAGGTATTTGACAGTAGAGAATGTTTACTCTTAATTGATTAATATCTCATGTTTTAATTTTATAATTCCTTATCAAGGAAGGATTTCATGATCTTTCACTTTCATTGAAAGTTGATACATGTAAGAAATTCAGCTATATGTAAATCAACATATTTGTATTAAATCATTGGAATTTAAATGATTTTATTTTCTTCAGCAGACAATCTTTCATTTTCTGATTTATTATCAGAATTTCTTTCTGATGAAGATCTAAAAGGGGAGAATCAATATTATTGTGAAAAGTGTGGAGGACTACGTGATGCGAAAAAGGTATACAGAATTTCTATTTGCTTAATGCTATAATGTTATTAAATCATTACCAACTTTACTATAAAAAAAATTAGTTGACGCGAATAATTACGCCACCGCGTTATTTAATATTATCGCTTAATCGATTCGAGTATGATGTGAAATATGCTAGAAGGATAAAAATCATGACACACGTAAGTATGATAAAATGAAAGTGGAAGTGAATTAAATTAATTCAATAATAAGTTAAATATTTATTATAATAGGTTTCAATACAAGAATCATTATCAGTACCGCAAGTTCATGAAAAAGATGAATCACATACTGAATCAAATCATAATAAAAATGGATTAGTTAACGGAAAGATCAACGGAATGGCGAATGGAGAGAAACGAATAAAGACAAAAGGAGTTGACGATGACGAGAAGGTATATGATTTGTCAGCAATCGTAATACATTCTGGTTCATCTGCTGAATATGGTCATTATTATACATACGCAAAGGATGAAGGTGATAAATTTTTTTTGTTTGCATATTGATTTCATTCATATAACTCTAAATTAAATAAAATTTTAATTTATTTTTTTATAAATTTATGGAAGATGGTCAATGGTATAATTATAACGATAATTATGTTTCTTCCTCATCATTACAAAAAATTATCTCCGAAGGAGAAGATTTCAAATCGGACACTCCTTATCTTTTATTTTTCCAACAGAAAAATATAATTAATTACAAATCACGTACGGAGTATTTTTTTTTTTTTATAAAATTATTTATATTTATTCTAATCGATTTTCGATTTTCGATTTTGAACTTTAGCTGAAATTTCGCAATCTCTTATGAAAGAAGTTGAGAAAGAAGATAAAAGTTATAACAGGGATTCTTTTGGTAATAATGATTATTCAATGGATAATAAAAAGAAAGATAAAGGCGAAAAAGAAGAGATTAATCCACTTAGTGGAGGATATGATTTATTTGATTATGATAATACGGTAATATAATATTTTTCATAGATTATATAGAATTCATATTGATTAATTTGCAATATAATAATTTCCCTTGGCATCATTAATTTTAAATATATTCTGAAAAGTTAAAAGAAAAAAAAAACAAATTTATCGCATTCTATCAGCCTTTTTCTATATACTAAATAATTTAATGATAGTTATTCTTTTTTTTACCGTTTATTTTTATTGAAAATTGTGCCTACGATCAATGCACTAACAGCTACAACTCCACCTATAATAGCCATACCCACAATTCCATCTAATAAAAGAAAATTATAAATTAAACAATTATCTTTTTTTTTTAAAAAAAAGAATATATAGTGATTATACCTTTTTCAAGTTTTTGTTTTATGAGCTCTTTTAAACTTTGAGCCTGTAAATTTTTAGGTTCCATCTTTAGCAATCTATCATTATAATCTCTGGCTTCTGTGTATTTACCTAACTTGAAACAACCTAATGCTAAATAATAAAGGCATTCGCGACGACGTTCAGGAATATCATTAAATATTTCTATATAAAATAATAATTCGTTAAAATATTATTATAAAATATTTTTAAGAAATTATTTAGTTTGTTACCTGATAAAAGAGACACACCAAGTTGTTGGTCGGAAGCTCTTCGACCTTTAATTAAACCCCAAGCATAATTAAATTTGGTTTGTGTGGTAACGTCACCCTCTTGAACTTCGCGATCATATTGTCTTCGTAATACCTATTAAAAGAACTTTAGTTAGGAACAAACATTAACCAAAAATTCAGATCAATAATTTACTGGTATATCGAAATTACATTCAATTCTTCGGCTGAGAGGGAGGCCTCAACGTCAGCAGCATATGGTAAATCATTCATCGTTGAGAAATTAAAAATTATGGAAATATGGTGTTTAATATAATAAATCCGATTACATAACATTCGTGTAACACAAAAAATTATAAATAATTCCGATCTTTGAGCAAGTTGAAATCAAAAAAAAATGTATATCGGTACGTTTAGGAAGTTTCCATTTTCTCTATCCACATTGTTTATTAGAAAATATGTGCTTCCTACGAAGGTTCAACCCTTAATCCAGGCTCGATTTGCTAAAGTAACCTCTGGTTAGTTTGCTACAGAACATTATATAATTAATATATTATATATATATATATATATATTTTATTTATATTTATTTGTTCTTATATTTAAGTCCGTCTACAGTTTACTTCGAAAAATACAATTAATTTAAAATACATGGAAAAATATTATAATAAATTAAAGATTAAAGCTAAAAAGTAGTAACAGTAAATGATTTTCCTTTTTTTTCGCGAGTTGATATTCCATAAAATAAATTAATTATCTTTCATATGTAATTGAAGGGAAGGGTTTTCTTCCGTGGAGGAAATGAAAGCTGAAAAATTAAAATCAGTTCAAAAGGATTTATCTTATGATTCGATATTAACACGAAAAAATATTTCATTGAACGACAATAAAACAAATGTTTCGCAGAAAATAAACACTGACGAAGTTTCAATGAGCTTACCACCGAATATCAAAGTAAGATTTGTAACTTATGATTATTCTATGTATAAAATTCGTTTTGATGACGTATCGTAATCTATTTTAGCCCCTTGATAAAATATTAAATATGGATAAAATAAAGGATCAGGACTCGGTAATGATTGAAAAATTATGGATAGAATATCATTCTAAAAAAAATTGTTTATCGGCCGTTATTCCTGCCGATATTTATCGAACCTTATTTAAACGTGGACAGCAATATCCTATGGTAACTTTTTATTAATGATTCGTGGTATTATACGTATAATACTTTCCTAATCAATTCCTTTTTTATTTTATTTTATTTTTTTTTAAAAAAAAATTAGTTTGTTGTTCCTTTACCTCAAGAACAGGGTTTTGAATTTTATATTCTTCAATTTCAATTTCACCAATGTTTTTTTACTTCTTTATTAGAATACAAGACTCATGGAGTCAAATCAAAACATCATATGGTGTTAACTCATTTTCCTGACCTTATTGATTCTAAAGGGATTGTTTTAATGTATGGTGAAATCGTTGAGCCCGATTTAATTTCTTTAAAAACTGCTCAATATCTTACATATATCATGCAAAAATTTTATGTTAGTGGGACAAAAGATGAATTAGATTTGGTTGAAAAATTCCACAAGTGTCCTGATAAATTTGAATATAATGATTTAATAAAAATTTTATAAAATTTAAATCACAGTATCAGAGTTTCTTTTAATAAGAGACAGTTCTATTTGGCTATCTTGCTTAATTTTAATTACAGGCCTTTTTAGGAAGACTTTCTTCTAAAATATTGATCAGCATTTATATGAAATACGAAAACTATCCAATAATAAAATATAGAACCTATAACTCTGAATAGTAATTATCCCTTAAATCGTAGGGTTTTGCAGGCAAATTTGCCTGCTTATTTACTATAAATTCTCTTCTGATTTACTTTT